ATACGTCGTAATTCATGAAAATACTAGTATTTTGGCTTAATGTGCACAAGCCTTTAGTTGGGCTAGAACTGCATATTCCCTTACCTCAGTTTAACCTGTGTACCATATAAATCCTATGGTTCATGGACCATAATCAAACTCATGAACTATGAGCTCACTGTCTCTTGGCCCGCGCTTCCATCCATGATGCCAAGTCTATTGCTTCTCACTTTTTTATTTCATATCCCTTAAGCCCCAATTACCACTTTAGTTTGTTTGACTAGTCTCACTTCTAACACCTCCAGGTTTCCAATTGCCTTCAGGGCTTTTTCATTATGATTCCTTTTCTTTCTGCTCAAACTACCTCCTTAATTTAGTCGTCTTCTTTTTGGTGATTAAACTGTTTAATCTTCATAGTTTTGTAGCACTCAACGTCTTTGTGAATTCTCCCTTTTCACGATCTCCCTTGTTTTAAATTTCTTTCATTTAGAATATCGATATTGGCTGGTTTTTTTCATGTTTTACCAATATACTCCTACTCAAAATCGCTACATATTAGGTGTTAAATCCCGAGTTACCTAGTCCTTCCACCTTCCCGTGTTGCATCGGCAGGCTAGTAAATTGAATAGTGTCATTTGTGATCGCCTGAATACTACATTTGTCAAGCTAGCTTTACCTAATTTTTTTAACCAAGGCGAATTATCGTGACCAGTGGGCGATGAAAACATATATTATTCGGCCAAATATGACCTAGACGCTAGTACTACGCCAAATAATAAGTGGAATCCTTAATTAAATCAACCTTTATAAGTTTGCTCCGCGCATCCTACTCGTTTATGGGTCACAGGTTCCATTTTTGTATATACTGCAGGAATATTTTCACTTGCATCAGAAGGCCCTTAATTCTCCTATGTTATCTTTATCTCCGACATCCTATAGTGGTAGCTTAGCAATGCAGAGCCAAGGAATTATGCGAAACCGATTCATAAAATACATTATTTACCTCGATAAACTCACCCATTCTTTAATTTACCTTATATAAATTTTCTACTAACTCATGAAATTATATCTATTCACTAACAGTAAATTTCACCATACCTAAAGGACTATACTGTTTTTCTTTGTGAATAATTCCTAAATGCGTGACTACCTTTTACAGGAATACGGCTCGCTTCATAACCTGGGGATATATTAAAATACGGAAATATTTTCCGTGATAAAAGCTCAAACATTCGTTCGTTGGCTGGAATAATCTCATTTTTAATGGCACGAAAATTTGTTCTAGATACCTCTTAAATGACTGATACCCTGTTTATGCCTGTCACCAATGGTTTTAAATCTGAGTTTTTATTTTAATGCCCGTAGCGTTATTAGAGCGCGTACAGCTCATATTATCTGCTCCATCAAATAGTTTATTTAGTATCAATTGGGCAACTTAATAGACAAATGAAGCTTCCAGAAGCATCCATTTAAATCTCAATTAAGACAGATTCCATTTTGAAAATAATTCTAAGTTTTAATCTATAAGAAACTTTGCATGCTAATGTAAAGCTTTTAGGTGTAATGGGAATATTAAAGATTATGACAGTAACTATTTACAATAATTGCTTGAGGTTTAAAATCGGACAATTAGTAATGTAAATATAATGAATGATAATTCAAAGAAAGTTAATTGCTTGTCAAATGAAGAGACTAGAAAATTTATAGAATAGCGCAGCCGTAAAAGTAACAGATGCCATAATTTGACTTCAGGTGTACAGCGCCAGCTGGTGCTCGATTTCAGAAAGAGAAGTCACTCCAAATCGGTCTGGCTCGTTGGATATCATTTCAAACATTTTACTTAATTGCTGCTGGCGAATACGTTTTTCTTCAGCTATTTCTTCTTCCGTGAAAAGGCTGATATGGCGACTATTGCGTACTCTTTTTATTCTTGAGACGAAGTGGTCAGAAGTATCTTCATAGTCGGGATCAGCTAACTCTGCAGATAGGCTCAATGCATCCTCCACATCTTTGGATGTAATGTCATATTTAGCGCTAAGTTGTGATGAAGCACCGAGGTCAATTGAGAGGTTCGAATCGTCTTCTTTTGATGAATCGTTTAGAATTAAAGGGTTAAAAAGTAACTTTGCTGCCTGACCTATTTGGGGGCTCACTAAAATAGGGAATAAATATAATATGAAATTTTGGTGAGAGTTTCATAAAAGTGGGATATAGGGAATTAAAATACAAACGATCTAGTATTTAAACCAACAAAGACTCACGTAACTCGAGATCATCTGGCTCATGTTTCTCTGTAGCTGTATTTCCGCTTTCCTTTCTTGATTCTTCTTCTGCTTGGGCCAGTTTAAAAGCAGCCATAAAAGGGCATAATACCTTTGACTTCGGAAGCCCTAATTTCTGACGAGCAGTTTCTTGAAGCTCTTCAAAGGCTTCAAGTTGGTCCGAAAGCATTGCATTTGGCGTATCAATAGAAACTGTTTTTATCATTTCATTATTCGCGCTAGGTTTTCTGATAATGTCCACTAAAAAGATCCACCAAAATTGTGATACACACCATTTCGAAATACATTTATACACGTGTGTTTATGTTAACGAAGCTTGTGCAATCAACAAATAGCAATCGTGACATATATACATACATATATACTAACCTTTTCGTCCTGTTAAATATAAACCGATGTTTTTACAATGATATACGAAAAAGAGACAAAATATTCCAACAAAAACAGCGAATATGGTCGGCGTTTCATATTTTAATAGAGTGTAGAGCTATGAAAAGCAATAATAAACAAAAAAGCCAATTAAATAATAGATAGGGATAGCTTGTGAAGACACATAGAATAAGGTATTTACTACGAGGTCCCACAGATCCATATAACCACCACGCCGGTAAAATAATTTGTGATCTAGTAAAATAAAGTTTATAGAATACCTACACTTTATATATAATTAAAAACTCGTAGTCTTGTATCAAATATTTTTATTTTTATCAAGCTTTATTAGTTATATAAGTATGTATTAATAGAGAGATTAACTTATGCTATGGTGAAAAAACGTACATTCTAGATACGAAGAGTGATTGAGTTTCGATGAATCTCTTAAAATAACATTGCTGGGGTAACTTTTATTTCGTATAAAAATGCACGAAGAAGAAATTCGTAGGTTGATCTTACCAGAAAAGGACAATTGAATGCCGTTGTACTTCAGCCGTTTGGCTTTTATACGACGTTCAGGATGACGCAGTCCACGAGACTTCCTCCCTCGTTTGGGATAAAAACAGGCTGTGCTTTCGTCTATCATATGAAAAGCATCATCAGAACTAGAATTTATTCTTGTAAAAGTCTCAATTTAGCACTAGAGCAAGAAGACTATCCGTCTCTATTTTACCTCTTATATAGACTCAATTAAGCATAAGGAAATAAAAAGCCTGGATAGATATAGAATGGTTTGGCTAATCATTTTTTGCCTTGGTCCTGCTACATTTGTTCAGGTGTATCTGTATGTGTGCGTGTGTGTGTGCTGACGTCAATACGCAATACATGTCATAAATTAGTGTTCAACAGACTAATGTCAGTCTCTAGTCATCAGAACTTAAAAACCCCAAAGCAAGCCCTGATCAAGGCTGCCTAAGTATGTGGGCAGGTAGGGTTGAGATGTAAGCTCGTAGGTAGTATGTCAAGTTATGAAACCACTTTTCCTAACCTCTCACTCTAGAGTCATTAGTGTTTAATCACTCAAGGAAAGGCAACACTAGAGTGGCGTAAGCTGGTACGTCTGGTTTGGTTGATGAGCTTAATCTAACATATTGGACGAGTTTTAGAGAAGTTAGAAACATCACTAAGCAGGCAAGTTGAGTCGCCTTCCTTTGGATGGCAGCTCAACACCCCTCTCTCCTTCAATTTAATAATCAAGCATAAGTAGTTTATATTCAAATTTATATCACCGTTCCTTAGATTCAACGTATTCAGTAATGCATTAATTCCAATAGCCTCTCTTATTGTTATTTTAACAGCAGATATACCATAATCAATAAGCCTACTAGTGTGAGACCATTCTATCTCATGTCCAGTTTCTGCCATGCTTTCGGCCACTTCTAACCGTTAGGTCCTGCTTCCTTTGTAAGTATTTTTGTGTTCCCCTAATCATTGTCGAATAGTTGATATGTCTCAGCAGTATAAGATTGACCACAGGAACAAACAATTTTGTAGGTAATGAAGCACTGGTAGTAGATTTATCCCACAATCATATAAGTAGAGCTGATGTTTCCATTAAATTTCACATAGCCTTGTTTGCCCAAAATTGTTCTCATCTAGAATGGACTGCAGTTTTGACCTTGCCTGTTTTTCCAACACCTTTACTAGGAATAAATATACGTTTGCTTCATTGACAAACCCACTATGGAAAATACCAGGACATCCTTGAAATTCACATTTGCCCTGTGACCAAAGGGCTCTCGTGGCAATGTGGCCGATTGGTTAACGTGTCAAATTCACATTCTGCACTGTCACGGTTCGACTACCTCCGGGGGTGCTGCGAGCTCGAAACTACAGTCCAACCTGGATAAGAACAACTTTTGGGAAAGCAAAGAGATGTGAAATTCAGTGTGAACGTCAGCTCTGCTCATATCATTGTAGAAAATTCTACTACCAGTTCTTCATCACCTTAAAGGAAATATGGTGAATGCATCTCATATAACTGATTTAATGGTGGTCTCAAAACTCTACATATATACGAAAAATATTGTATCGACTAAATCTTTATAATGGTTCCTATTTCTCTCATAATAGAAGAAAGTTACTTTAAACACTGTTTTTACCCTCACTTTCTTATTAATTAGTCCATTTTCTAAAAAGTAGGTACGACGGCAACATTAGATCATGAGAAAGCTCTCTGCTTGTCTATTTTTGACTTAATACTCTCCATCTAAAAAATCATTCCTCAGTAAAGAGCTATTATTCTCAATAAGGCAAAAGGGTAATTATTTCCAGAAATGAATTTGTCAGCCATTCCAGCTCTTTAGTCAAATGATTTCTAGCTGCTAGCTTCAGACTCTTAATAATCATTAACTTTAAAATTCAAACCTTAGTTTTGGAAATATGGTTGGAAAGAAAATTAAGCAATGAACTAATCTATGTTAGAATCCTATAATCATCTTTTACTAACCTACGCTCTTCTCTAGTAATGAGAACATCCAGAAGGGGTAAGAACGTATTATCTTCCATTTTTATTGTAAATCTAATGATCCTTTCACGTTGGTCAAGTGAAAGTTGGAAATTATCTAAACTTTTTTTACCATGACAAAATATTAATCCATATATCTAACCAAGAGTTGGGGGGTTAGTATTGCCTCTTGCAGGAAGTGTTCCTCCAGCCTTGCCAAATAATTGTTAACCAAGATGGGAGCCAGGCCAGATCCAATCGCTACTCCTTGTGTTTGTTCGTATCACTTACAATCAAAGGCAAAATAATTACTACCCATGGATAGGATAAGAAGTATAATTATGGACACTAGACTAAACATTATTTTTTTTGTTATCTCTGGATGCTCCTCCGGAATTTATATCAGAGCCTGACTAGCTCCTTGAACAGAAATGTTTGTGTACATAGGCATAACATCAAAACTTATTGACCTATCTGCTTCTGAAGCTATTTGCTGATCAACAAATTTTACAGACTCGTAAAAATGTTTAAATAAATATGGCCCAAAATTGTCAGTTTTCCTTAGTTGTATGCATAAAAAACGTGAGATTTTATGCATTAAAC